GGAAGGGAAGGGAAGGGAAGGGAAGGGAAGGGAAGGGAAGGGGGCTAATAAATCTTACCTGGTCTTGACCTAAGAGATTGCAGGGAAATTAAAACACAGGGACTCACTAATATAGGAATGAGCTCATCTTGCCAAGCTCTTATCCTCTAAACATGACTTCTGAAGCCTTTTACTAGGTTCAAATCACTAATTTCCTCATGAAAATGTAGCACAATTTTTTTCCACCTCTCAAGTTCTATGAAATGAACTACTGTCTGGTTCTTCCATTCAGCCTCCAGTCATTTCTCATATCTTTGCATGCATTACTGCACTTTCTACAGTGCCAATCTCTTATCTTTTTAGCTGGCAAAGTTTGGTATCCTAAGTTTGTAACTAAAGATGCCATGTAAGGACTGTTATGCCAGGCTAACATGTAACATAACCCTGTGAAAATGCTTGAAGTAAATTCTTACTCATCACTTGGAATGCATAGAGGTTAATATGATTATGTATTATTAATTCAGGAACTCCTTGCTTTATTTCTATACATACTATGCCAGGAGAAGAGACCTCTATATTATAGGTCATTTAAATGGCCCTGCACCAAATTTGTATGAATAATGCCTTCATCACCATTGCAAAATTGGGGGGTAGGGATGGGGATGGGGAGAGGAACAAGCAGAGATCAAATACAGGCCCTGGAATTGGAATATCAAGTCATAAGACCCAACATTCGATTCTTCAGGGCAAGTCACACATTTGGCAACAAGCTACATGGAGAAAAATCAGTAAATTATCTTTCAGGGACCATACCTTCAGGGCCAAAGAATGCTCCACATTGTGCGCAGAAGAAGTGTTCTGGGTGCCATGTCCTGTCCAAGGCTGTCACCACTTTCTGGTAAGAAACCATAAACAATAAAGAGTTGAAAGTAGATGCATGAAAACACAGGGTGTGCAGGCAGAACAATACAAACAACAGATCCAATGTGTTTTTCTCCAGATGCCTTGGACTTCCATTTGCATAATCCACTGTCCAGCCTGGCCAATGGCAAGGGATTATGGGAAGTCAAAATCAAGGTATCTTGGATTTCACTTGCATAATCCACCATCCAGCCTGGTCCATGTTGAGGGATTATGGGAGGTTAAGACCTCTAGAGGAAACAGGTCAGGAAAAACTGAGTTAATAGAAAAAGTAAGATGTCATGTATCAGGGACTTACATCCAGGATGGGACCATTGCAGTAGTAGCAGCGAGGTGAAAAGAGGTTGTGATAATCCTTCTCACAGTAGGGTTGACTGTCACGCTCAAAGAAATTCCGGGACCCGATCTCCTCCTGACAATGGGTGCAAACGAAATGCTCGGGGTGCCACGTCTTCCCCATTGCTGTGACAACCTACGATGGGAGAGGAACAGAAGAGAGTCCCAGCTCCAGGAAATGCTCCGCTTTCCAGCTGAAGGCATCTCATGTGAGAACAGGCAGAGCTCAGCACCAAGGACAGAAAATATTCTTGGAACTCAGGTGGCACGCTGGAGTGGAGTAGGAGGAAAATTGAATTATCTATCATCTCAAAAAGGGGTGTCCTTCATGGGCTGGATAGAATCACTGGAGATGCTCACTCCACCCCTGGCTAGGGGATAAATAGTGTACTCCAGGTTCTTCAGGACAGCCACTCCATTTATCTGTATGATTTTAATAGCCTTCTCTGATCTTTTTTAATTTTTTTTTTAATCTGCACTCAATCGTGACCAATTCTGCGGTGACTGCCTGGACAAGTCCCTGCAGTTTTCAAGGCAAGGTGTTTCAGAAGTGATTTGCCATTGCCTCCTTCCTAGAGCAGAGCCCAGCTGGCGAGCGCAGGAGGAGGGGTTTCTGTTGCTTCGCGCCTTTTTCGGGCGTGCGCAGCTTCCGCGTTACCGGCAACTGATCCCGTTTCCCATGCAAGTGCCGCCAGCATTTTTCCTCCCACCGGGATGAGAGTCCCCATTTATCTACTCATGTAAGTTTTCGAGCTGCTGGGTTGGCAGGAGCTGGGGAGGAAGCAGGAGCTCGCTCTGCTGCGCAGAGCTGGGCTCGAACCGCTGAAGTGTCGACCATTTCTGGCTGGCAACTTTCAGCGTCATTAAGCTGCTGCACCACCGCATCCCCTTTTTTAATATTTATGTTTGTTTATCTCCCACCTTAATTTATGCAACTCAAGGCAGGGTACATAGTACTTCCACCTCCTGTTTTCCCAACAACCACCCCATGAAGTGGGTTGGGTTGAGAGAGAGGGACTGGCCCACAGCCACCCAGCTAGCTCTCATGCCTAAGGGAGGAGCAGAACTCATGGACTCTTGGTTTCTAGTCTAGTGCTTCATCACTACACCAAACTGGCTCTCAACAATGGAGCTGAAGTTCTCCTTAGAGGAGCAGGGGGTGTTCTCCCTGAGGCTCACCTGTCCAGCAATTGGCTTCTTGCAGGCTCCACACACACCTTTGGCAACTGTTGCTACCCCAAGTTTGTTCAAGTCAGACTGGAGGCTTCCAAGCATGCTGTCCAACTGGCTGCCAGGCTTCGGAGGAGTGGAAGACGGATAGCTGCCACCACCTTTTCCCTGGGACATAAACTAAAGGAGAGACCCAAGCAGAGATGGTAAGGTAAAACCTGCCACAGAGTCCTTCTCCCCATGGAACTTCAACAAGCTGTTCTGAATTTCCATTCATGGATCCTGGAACTGTTGACGCAACTGCAGAAGCTGGCAAAGGATCACACTTGAGGACAGAATGGGTGGTTGCCAACAACTTTGTCAGAATGGTCTTCCTAAGAAGAGGATCAATACCCTAAGCATCTGCAAGCACAGACAATTTTCAAAGCACCTCCACACCACAGGGTTTCCACCATCATTTCCACTCCTCAACCCCTCAAAGCACAGTGAAGCAATTCTGAAATGCATTGAGGCCAGAGAAAAGAGGGAAGGAAAAGTTCCAGCCAATTTGGGGAGGGGGTAGATTGCTCGTAGTTACACAGTTGCTTCAAAAAAAGAAGACAAGCTTTGCTGTGATTTGGTATATGCCCACAGCAACACTAGCAACCGATGAACTCAGCCTCTTGGTAAATCTGACATAACCAAGGGTAGATCAGAAGCTGATTCCAAACTATCACAAAAGTTCTGTGTAGAAGAGCCTTCAGACAAATTAATGCATAAAGCAAAGTTACATGATCTCATGGCACGCTTTATAATAAGAATGGACAACCTGTAACCTTTCAGGCCCCCACCCCCTTTCTGAGCCTTTGAGAGTCCTCTCTGACTCCACCAGCATCTTTTGACCATGTTATTCTCATCCCTTGGAGGCAGGAATCACACAGGTCTGTAGGATTCATAAGCCATCCTTTGTACAGCTACGCCACTTGGATTATAATAACTTTCACTTCTCATAGGTCACTAGCAATTTAAGTGCTTGGCACGTAATTTGAAGTTTTATTGGTTCAGGTGCTGAATGTCTGTTGCCTTCTCTCCCTTTCTCCAGCCACAAAACTCTCCACGTCCTCAAGATGGTCATGCCATAAGCCCTCCAAACTCATGCTAAGTTTAAGAAGCCGACCACTTCTTTTAAGCTTGCAACAAAACAGACTGAGTCTTAGAAAAACACAGCAAACTGCATTTCTACAAACAACTCGAAACTCCATGCAAGATCCACATCTTTGCCAAAGAAATGTTTTCCACTCAACATGCTGGAGCAGGAATTAAAGCAAAGGTCCTGCCTTCTCAGGAGTGGGTGGGCGAGTAGCAAGAACGTGGTCCAAAGATGGAATAGGAGGGACCTGAAAAGTACAATTCATAATGAGCTGTAACCATTTTAAAAAGCTGAATAGATTGTTGAATTTAAGAAACTCCTGAATTCCATGCCTACTTTAAAAACATATTTTTTTCAGGGGGGAGTGGATTCTGAGTGCAAAACCTGGATCTTATTCTGCATCTAAAATAAAGGATTTCCCGTAACAACTTTACAAAGATGTGTGAGTTATAGAAAAGTTATTCCCAATTTTTTCTGGCCATTTTAGACTGAACCAGAACTACAGGTTTGATTTGACTTCACTTGCATCTGCTTTCAATGAAAATAAAACACCTGTGTTAACTCTCCAGTCATTTTCCCTTCCGCCATGTTGAACATGGCAATTTGGTCAAAACTTCTGGAACCTCCAAAAGCAAAATCCTGGGGGCACTGCAGCTCTGACCCTCTGGATGTACACATCTACCTTAGATATAAGCTGGGCTAGCTATACATCTATTATGGGGTCGCTAGGAGACAAAAACTGCTCGATGGCACATAATCAATCAATCAATCATTCAAGCTACAGACTTTTCTAAGTGGAGCTAGAATGGAGAGGAAGGAGACAAGCTGTATATTGAACCATGGAGCCCCTGGATGCTTCTGCAGCACAAAATCCCGAAGGCTTCGGACAGCCAGAAAGAGTTCGGATTCTTCCTTCACATCTAGGGTGATTTTTGAGCCTAACAATTACTGTCTAGCATAACATGCAGAGCTTCTACAAACTCACATCCAATGTCACCACAAATCCCAGCCAAGCAGTCTTCAGCAATGGGACTTTTGAGCTAAAGACATATTCCTCCTTATATTTTACAATGGTCTAATTAATTCTTGGACCAATTATTCTGGTCGAATTATGGAATGCTAGGCTGTACCCAACCCAACACATGCCACGGACTTTCCCACCATAGCACCTCAGATTCTGCACACAATCTTCCTCAACGGGGCGCACTCTGGATTTCAGTTCCTAAAGTTCCCTAGCCAGCATTGCCATTGTAGAGACTTCTGGGAGTTAAAGTTCCCACATCTGAAGGACACCAGGTCAGGAAAGCCTGGAGTCCGTATTTACACAGACTTAGTTTCGCGATGGAAACTGAACTCAGTGATGTCCCAGTTGCTCTTCCCTCTGAGTTAGGATCAGTGAAAGCCTTATTCTAATGAAGCAGGATAACATCAAAGGGAGACCATGCCTGCTGTGGTGGGGAGAAGGAATCTTCCTCTGTCTGACAGCTAACCGACACCATCATTTTGGAGGAAGGCACCGTTCCTATGGGCTGTGTGGGAATCGATGCCTGATGGGTGGGACCTTCTTCCAACAGCATTTCCCACTGGAGCGGAGGCTGAGTCGGATGGGCAGATGGCACATACCGCAGCTGAGGGATATGGGGCGATGGGGGCAGGGGCAGGGGAGGTGGTGGTGGTGGAGCAGGTGGGAGAGAAGAGCCAAGAGTGGCTTTGACAGAGGCTGCCTTTGAGACATCTTTAGGAAGCTGCAGTGGAGGAGAAGGTGGGACAGAGATTGTTCTTCTCAGAGGGAGAGGTGACGTAGCAGGAATAATAACCTAAGAAAAAAGCAGGAAGAAACATGAACAGTCCAAAGACATCTTGCTCAGAAAAACTTGAATGTACCAGAAGAAGATAACATAGGACAACCTTCTCCAACCTGGGCATTTCCCAAAGGGTAGATGTCAACTCCCAGAATTCTCACCAATGGTCATGAAGGCTGGGAGATTCTGAGAGTTGAAATCTACCCCTCTGGAGGGCAACAGGTTGGAGAAAGCTGATGTAAGGCAATAGTACTGGCAACCGGACCTCGCAGGACATAAAACTTCCATCGAAACGCAAAAGTAGCAAAAATGGAACAACTACTACTAGAGGCACCTCCAAGTAGAAGCAAGTGGGAAAGCAGGCACCTTTGTAGGCTTTCATCTGTTTAAGCCCCTTGTGCCCCCAACTGGGTGAAAGGGCCTTAAAAAGCTATCAAATGATGCTAGGCATATCATCCAAGAAAGCGGCAATCAAAGGTTTTGCTTGGAAAAATCCAGGAGGCCTCATTCTACATCTGAGGTTTCAATTTCTAAGGAACTGACCTATAACTGGTCCATGATGGGGATCTCAAATCCATTATAGATGAAAATAGTCCAGAGGAGTACAGATTACAAGCCAAATTGTACGGGAATCCAACAAACTAAGCCTACAATTACAAATGATTGAAATAACCAGTTAGAGAGCAGAAGGAAAGCTCCCCATCTCTTTTACTTACTAGTAATCAACCAGGAAAAAAAGCTTATCTTGAATTCCATTGTGCTTTTCTGGTGTCCAGCAGAACATTAATGCCCACAATTGTATAAGGGATAGATCCTTATTTTGACACACAATAAAGACAGCATCTGCATTTCTCTCATTTCAGAAGCTGCATCACAGTGTTCATCTGCTCTCTCAATGCCCAGGTTAGGGACCTCTAGCCTAACTTTCAAATTGACTGCCAGGATTCTTATGGGTGAAGCACGAATGGTGCAGCTTAGACAATTGTTTTGGTTTCCTCTGCTGTAGGGATGACCAAGAAGAGAGAGGATTCATCTGCTGCCAGGAATGGAAATGCTTTTTCTGGAACTATCAAGAGGTGCTCTGCCATAAGTGACCAAGAACTATTTTCGTCCTACCAACTGGAAGACTCCTTCAGACCTCCCTGTGATGTGGTGGGAACGAAAACTGTTTCTTTCTACCTTTTCTATTTGTTGACTACCATCTTTCTCCTTCTTCTGAGGCCTGGAGGTAATGATGACCCCCTCGGTCAGCCAGTCTTCCGGGCTTCGCTGCCATTCCTCCTGCTCTGCTTTGCTGATGCCCAGCCTGTCTTGCAGCTCCTCTATCAGGCGGTCTTGGGAGACGTTTTTATGGAAGATGACTGGGCCCAGCTTGCGTCTCGGTGAGAGATCACGGCACATTGGATGCACGTTGGAGATCTCTTTTGTTTTCCTGATTACAGATTTGATCTTAATGGGAGGAAAATGTCAGGTTCAGTAAGTTCCCCCTTTAACCGAACAGCACAGAATGCATGGTCTTCAAGTTCAACATGGTTAGTGGACACAAACAGGAAAAGCTGAAGTCATTCCTTCCTCAGCTGGGGGATAGTCATTTTGGTACATCCACAAGCAGCCGATCCATCATTAGAAAAGCTCTCCAATGCCAGCCACATCACCCAAACACAAAAACTCAGCTCAGTTGGCCGAATATAACAGCAGACGCTTTGTCGGGGGTTAGAAAACCCTTAAAACCACCACAATCAACGGACAGCCTTTTCAGGATTCATGAATTCAGAGGGAAACCCAAGTATGAAAACATGGAGGTATTGCTTGTAGGAGAGCAACAGCAGTAGCATGTACTGCAGCATCAAGACAACCATAGACCTAAGAAACAAGCATTTCCTGTAGTATGAACTTCGGCAGGCAATGTCTCTCTACATCAGTCTACAGCAGTCTTTCTCAACCTCAGCAACTTTAAGATGTGTGGCTGGAGAGTTCTGAGATTTGTGCACACATCTTAAAGTTGTTGAGGTTGAGAAACACTGGTCTACAGAACAATGATCTGGAGGTGAGTCCTATCCTTATTGTCTATTGTTCTATTCCTCCAGGCCGTTACATTTCTCTCCACCAAGAGCAATCCCAGGGAGCGTTCCACTTTCACAACTCAAAGGCCCAAAACATATTAAGAGCAACAGTTTGCCAACAACCAAGTCCTACACCCAGAAGCTTGTGGTGTCTACCTTGGAAAAGCATGCAACCTAGCGAAATCCAGCAGAAAACCCCAAAGCACATTTCATGCACAGCCAAACTAGAAGCAGTATGAAGACATTCCTTCCATCTGGCCAACAGCCCACTCCTCTCCTCATTCATTCTAATGCCTGCCTGGCTTGATGTGGAAATTCTCTCCACAGGAATTTTAGGATCAATGTCTAATTCCTCTTCCCAGACATTTTTGGCAGGCTTTGGAGCAGCTGCCAAGCTGGAAGCTGGCTCGTTCCACCGTCCTGTGACACCATTCAGAAGGCTGTTCTTTCTGGATCCCCTCTCAGCAACATCAGGGCAGCTGTTTGCCCTCACTGGATCTCGGATTTCAGTCCTCTGGTTGGAGCCCTGCTGCACAGCCCAGCCCAGCTGCCCTTTGGTGCCTGGAAAGCTCTCCCATCTTTCTACATTAAAAAGATCTGGTCTGCATACTGCTGACACAACATGATCTTTCTTGGGGGACGTTCTTGGTGTAAACAGAGATGTTTCTGAATTGCTTTGCCTGGTGTAACCAATGGTCCTAAGTCCATTATCCTTGAAAACAGGAGCTTTTAGCTGAAATGCAGCTCCCTGTTCCAATTCTTGGAGGGCTGGTATTTCCACCCTGCTCGAAACCAAAGCAACAGTATCCTTGACTTCACTTTTCTGCTTCCCCCTCCGAGGTTCTTCTGGTTCCACAGGTCTCTGATTCGGAATTCCTGCACCATTAGCGCAAACAGACAATGGCTCCACCTCAGAAAAGAAGAGAAGTGACCTGCCAGGAGTGGTTTTGCTCAGTCCATCTGAGGTTGTGAGAGTGCCAGAAGCTTTGGCAAGTGGGGGCTTTGTCCAAGGTCCAGACGAGTGATGATGCAAGGTGGTGGGAGAGCACTCTGGAATCGAAGCCACCACTAAAGCACTGCTTTTCTCATCAATGTGAAGGACCTCCAGCTGAAGAGGGGCCCGGGAACCCGAGTCACACCCATCATATTTTGCCTGTTGTTGCTTTAAAGAAATTGGGGGACCCATAGGAGGAAGCATATAAGATGGAGCTGAGTCAGTTGGTCCAGAAGATAGCTGCAGGGAAGGCTCAGAGGTCAGTGATATTGTGGAACTGGTCTGAAAGAAAGAGAAAGGAAGGTGGAAAGAAGGAAGGGGAAGAGAGGGGAAAAAGAAAGATGGGAGAAAAGATGGAAACAGGATTGAAGGAAGAGGAGAAAAAAGAAAAAAGTGACAGAAAAATAAGAGGTCCCTGCATTATAGTTGTCCAAGTTAATTAAAAGCAAAGAAGCCTCAGGAAAAAAAATTAAAAGATCTAAATCATTCCTGACAGCAGCCTACTCACAAATCTTGCTCCCTTCTCCTTCTTATACAATAGATTCCCCAGTTATACCAGAATATAACTCATGGACTTGCAAACCATGAACTTCTTCAAACCGCCCCACACATTATGCTTTGCTGCTTCAACAAGCAAGCAAGAGGCTGGTGAATCTGCAACTGAGGTTTGTCTCCCCCTCCTCAGTCCTCATGAAGCTTAGTCTGGCAGGAAAGAGAAGGATTCTGCACCAGAGACACATCTCTTTGAACCAAACAGTTCTGCTCTGTTTTGAACCATTAAAAAAAGAATCCACATTCTCAACTTCTCAGGAACATAATACTTGAGGGAGACCCATGAAGGCCCTTTACTTGGGGACAGAAGAATCATCCTTGATTCCTTTTCTTTAATGAGAGTTAGGCATTTGCTAGGATCTGCATCATCTCAGCAAAAGGAGATTCTGAGAATTGCAGTTCATGTTTTTGCATGTCTCTGCTTTCATCATCAGCAACAATTCAAGTTTCGGCCCCTTTGGAGTACCAAAGTACTTAAAGCTTCCAGCTTATACTTGAGAAAGGTCCCGGGGTGGGGTGGGGGTGGGGAAATCCCAGTGTTTAAGAATATGTTTATGTAAAATGCAAGGAGAGAGACTGATTTTGTCTTAATCTATATAATTTACATAATCTACATAATCCCAGAGTTGCTGTGAATTGGACGTCATGATTATGATTATGATTTATATGGAGAAAGGGATTGCAGCTTTTCCTGGTAAATAATGTGGTTAAAGGGGCACCCTGTTTTTTTTTTAAGGTAGAATATAAACAGTGTTACAGATTAAATCAAACAGTCCAGATTCCAGTGCGCCAGTAAAAGACAATAGTGGGAGACTACTATTTCCTATCTATCCATCTATCCATCTATCCATCTATCCATCCATCCATCCATCCATCCATCCATCCATCCATCCATCCATCTCCTATCCACCTATGTCCTAACTATCCATCCATCTCCATCTCCTATCCATCCACCTATCTCCTATCCATCTATCTATCCGTCCATCTAGCTATCCATCCATCTCCTATCCATCTATATCTATCCATCTATCCATCCATCCCCTATCCATCTATTTCCTATCTATTCATCCTATCCATCTATCTTCTATCAATCTATCTCCTATCAATCTATCTCCTATCCATCTATTCATCTATTCGTCTATTCGCTGCTGTCTGTCTGTCTGTCTGTCCGCCCGCCCGCCCGCCCATCCATCCATCCCATCCCATCCATCCCATCCATCCCATCCATCCATCCATCATCTCCTAGCCAAGAGCCCACCTTTAAGGCCAAGAAATAAGACTCAGAATCACTTGTCCAAAGAGGGCCAATAGTTTAGAACAAATAATGCCTCCTTTACTCAAAAGAAGAGAACCAAAGCAAGCAAGTAAAACTGCAGTGCTCCTCACACAGCTGTAACCAAACTTTGCCCTCCACTTAACATTTTTCTTGCCACAAGTGTCCCTGACTTATTCACAATATCTCTTGCACAACAGCCTGCGCTAAATTAATAGCACATTAAAGAAGGAGGAGAGTGCCACTTGACAAGCAAGCGAATATAGAGAATTAGTTTATACAGAATTTGGCTCAATTCAACATCCTCCAAACAAGTTGGGATTTTTATTTTTCAATCCCCAGCTCTCACGGTTGGGTTGAGAAAGGACTGCCAACAGCAGAATTGGGACCAAAGCTCAATTAAGATTTAAGTCTTTCGTTAGAGTAATCTTTGTACTGCAAATAACCACATGCAAAATTTAACCATCTGTAATGGGAGTGAATCCCAAAGCATGTCAGGGAAAAAGACATGGAGCTGCAATTCATTCAAGTGGCTTCTGCTTCACTGGCCAATGGTCAGCACTGGACAAAGGGCCAAATATTTTAGCCAAAGGTCAAGATAAAAATGCTCTTCACACAATAAATATCTACATGGGGAACAGGTTTTCTGTTTATTTCTACTATGCAAGACCGAAGCAAGTCACCCTTCCCTTGGGCACTTTGCCATCATTACCATAGTAATGAGTCACTATGTTCTACAAGGTCATAGTCCACCTTCTTAGTGAACATTCCTCAGCTGAACCTGCTTCCTTTTCTTCAAATTAGGAGTCTGGTAGGATGAAAGCTGATGCCTTTTAATACAATTAGTTAATCAAAAAAGGTATACTAGACTCCTGATTTTTAGCCACTAGGGCCTCTCTACACAGAGAACAATGCTATCTAAGAAACCTACAGAAAAGCTATTTAGCAGAGTGCAAGTTACTCTGCTACCGTTGTGGTCAATCAAACGGTCTCCCCATCTCTATAGTAAATCTTTGTTTGGCTTCCTTCTCTACATTTCTCCTGAATACTTTGTGTGTGTCTGTTCCCTGGATCTCCTGTGTGTTTGTGTCTCTAGATCAGCGTTTCCCAACCTTGGCAACTCCCAAGTGTGTGGACTTTAAATCCCAGAATTCTCATCAATGGCCATGCTGGCTTTGGAATTCTGAGATCTGAAGTCTGGGCACCTGGAAATGGCCAATGCTAGGAAACACTGCTCTGGATGTTGCATTTTCTACTCCTGTTTCTGATTCTGAGCTCCCCCTAACTCACTCTGGGCCTGGGTTCCCTGCATCTCTCCATTCCTGACTTTCCTTCTCTCTCTCCCCCCACCCACCAATTCTTTTAATGGGAACTGATCCTCAGACAAGACTTGGCAGAATGTTCCCCTGTCTGGTCCTCCTAATCCTTCATCTCCATCTCAGTGGAGGCGTTACCTTGTGCCTGAATTTAGGTCGAGAAGGAATGGAGTGGGGAAGGGGAGAAGGTTTCTGCTTCCTTTCCACTACCTTCTTCCTAGGTTGCAGCTCCTTGGTGTGGAGCTCTGGAGAGGTTAAAATGAAGGAGGATGATCCTTCAAAAGTCACCAGGGAGGTTGAAGATATGACACTGCTAACCATAAAGCTGAGATGTTTCAAATAGACATATGGTTCTCTTGACTCTCTCCTTAACTTTGGGGCACATCGTTTAGGCTGTGTGCATCAGTTGGTGACAAAAGGGACAATCCTCACTGAACTCAATGGGACTTAGGCTATAAGCCTAAAGTATACTTAGATCATCAAAATGCAGAAACATTTCCCAAGAAGGCCCACCTAGAATCACATCTCAATCCTATTCAGGTTTGTTGATTTCTTTGTCATGGACCCTGCACGCTGGAATAGCACCCCCAGAGATATGTATGGTTCCAAGTATTGCAGAAGTCCCTTAAGAGCTGGCTCTGCTCCCAGGCCTGGGGTTAGGATGCCTGGAGAGCCCCTGTCATCTTTATTGTTGTAGTCTTGTCCAGGCAGTTATGTTTTGTTATATTTTTCATTGTGTTTTCATTATACACTTGATATTTTGTAAGGCTCCCAGAACCTCTTTGGAGTTGTTAACAAATCAAAATCAAAATCAAAATCATCCCCCCCCCCCCCCCCCCCCCCCCC